AAAAAAAAAAAAAAAAAAAAAAAAAAATTGAATTTTGCAATCGAGACGAATCGAACGAACGTTTCGCTTCTTTCGGGCGATGAGAGAGTCAGTTCGCAATTGTTATCTCGCTAATCCACCACTACCATATCACAACCGCCCAGCTACGCTGTGCGATATACACACAGTGTGTGTGTATGTGTGTGAGTGTGTGTCTGTTCCTCTGCCTGTCTGTCTGTCCTAACTAATTAAACTTTACCGCACTTCGGGTATTCTATTACGTAGCTAACGATCCCGGAGCCGCCGATCGATCTGTCTTCGGGATATGTTTATTGTTGCGACGAGAGCGTGACGCGCTCTGTCCGCAACTCTGTCCGTTTACCGTTACTCTCCACGCGGCCCTATGTGCAATTATGTGAATTATGTGGGAGAGAGGCGTTGCGAACTTCGCTCCACAATTTTCGTACAACTCGGATCTCGAGTTGTACGATAAAATTGACGAGAGAAAATTGCTCGCAAACAACATCTCAAGGGCGCTTGCGAAAACTTATTTTTCTTTCAATTTTTAGAGAGAATTTAAAAAAACAAAAATATAATCAATCGGACTCGCGGATAGTCGCTGCGTAATCGAACACCGAGATCACTTATGTCTCGTATTACAGAAACTAAAACTATTGTACAACGCATGTGACAGCACTTTGAACTGTGTACATATTATGATGAATCCATGACGCCGGTTCGAGAGAGAACAAAGCATCTTGCGATGAGAAAAAAAAAACTGAAGCATCTTCGAGCTCCGCGAAGCTTGTAATAAAAAAAGAAAAAAAAACAAACAAACAATTTCTCAACATAGTTAAATTTTAATCAAAGTCCGGCTTCAGCGTTTCTTTTCCTCGCAACAAACGTGAATTTTCCCTCGTGAATTTTTTTGCGAAAATGAAGAGAGATTTGCGAGTGAGTCGAGAGGACGATATCTCTTCTTCTTACAATTCTCCTCTTTTCCGCGACTTCTTTTCTCTTTTTCACACGTCGCGACGTGATTTCGCACTTTACCTGAGCACTGGGAGTTCGTCGAGAGCTGGCTGCAGGTCTTGATAGGACACACGATTCTTAAGTCTACAAGCAATATACGTATGTAATATCTCCTTCGTGTTGTTATAAAAAGAATATAGGCCAAGGCGGGGAGTAAAAAATTTTTCAAGGCTAAAAGCTGCTGTTTGTTGTTGCTGTTATACCGACACGAGGAGGATCAAGCGTCGTCGTGTTCGCAACGTTATTTCGCACATTTTCGGAGCGGATTTTTCGACGCGGATCGCGCGACAAAATCCAGCCCGATCGCGCGCGCGAGTGCCCGTCATCAACGTAAAATAACAAATCGGTGGTAATATTATATATCGCAATCAACTTCGTATCACGTAACGGCGTTTGTTTCCATTTGCTTATTGAAAATTGAAGCGACGACGAAATGACGCAATCAATAATACAAATAACAGCGATAATCCACGCAACGCTCGCGAAAACAGCACGCGCGCGCGCACAATAACGCGGTCTCGCGGTTTTTAACTCGATCGAAATGCAAAGGCTATTAGCTTAATCCTCACGTGCGGCATCGTCTAAGAGGATTAACCGTCTCTCCCTCGGGAGTTTCTTTATCATTATTCGTTTTATCGTCGTCGTCCTCCTCTCCTGCTCTGTCGTTTCCATCGTCCGATCGCAATATCGCGAAAGGCTTTTTTTTGCGCGACGGCTATTATCGTCAAACGATATGCCGCGGCAAAATTCTTTGTTTTACGATTTTGGCGTGCACTGCGCAAACACGCGCGTTCCTCCGTATTGCGTTTTTGTTACTTTTTTTTTGGTTTTTTTTTTTTAACCAATGCAACACGCAAATTCGAGTGGATCCTCCTGTGTGTACATCCCCTCCGTTAGTTCTTGCGTCGTTGTTGTCGATACGACACGTTCGGGGGCTAAATATCGTGTGCACGCTCGCGTGTAAATTTATGTACAGAAGAGAAGACGCGCGCGAGTAGTCGGGGCGGATTAGGGAAGTTTCGGGTGCGCGCGTTGTACGCGCGCTAACCGACGACGGAGTCTTAACCACATTTATCACCCCCGCTGTGTTTCGCGGATTAGATTCGATATTCAGGCGAACGCACCACCGTGCACACAAGCCAGTTTCCAACTTGCCGTGTGTATCGAGGGCGGATACACGTCGCGCGACGTGGGTGGTGGTCTCGCCATTGCTCCGGAGAGAACACTATCCGGAACTATCCCACATACAGCCATTTCGAAAAGCTTTCCCCCGCCTCCATTGTCGCGAAACTCTAACAACGCAAACCTTCCTGTACACGTTCGAGACGCATAGAACGAGAGATCGGCGAAACAAATTTGCTCGAAAAAGATCGAAGATTTAAATGTTTTCAGTTGGAATATAAATTGCATTTGCATAGCGCATTTTTGAACAACAAATAATTGGAGACACGTAAACAACTAAGATTAACACATCTTTTAATTTTGTATCTAATTTCTTTGTGTGTCTACAATCATTTAATCTCTAAATTTGCCAAATGTAATTTATTCCAATTGAGACTTCAAAAATTGACTTCAAAAATTTTTGCACAACGTCCTCTCGCTATTGCCGTTTTTTTTTTTACATTTGGATTAACCCATTTGCATCATAAGCGCATATATGTGCGCATTTTGCCTGGCCACTATCACCAGAGCGCATATATGCGCGCATTTTACTTAGGCATTTATCACCAAAGCGCATAAAAAATTAGCGCACCAATAATTAGATTCCATTCCGTTTATTTTTGTGAATCTATAATGAAGTAAAAATTCTTTATTTATGCAATATTGATTTTATTTTTCATATTTTGTAACATTTTCATTAAAATTTAAATACAGTAAAAAAAAATTTTGGTGATAAGAACGAATTTTTGACTTTTCTTTGTGATGCAAATGGATTAACCGACACGAACCGAAGACCATTCCTGATTTTATCATTTTATTTATTCAGTATTTTTGTTTTATTACGTTGGTTGCGCAACAAAAGTCTGTTTCGTTCGGAATGAAAATCGATTCCCCCCCTTCCCCCCATTTGCGTTAATTTAATCCGATTCCAATCGCAAGACAAATTGATCGAACGCGCAACAGAGTCAGAATTCGAAGCGGATACGAAGACGACGTGTGTACATATATATAGTATATACCGGAGCAGTCCGTCTCGGTTACTTACTACTTGCGATGAGCGTAGATAGCGTCATGTTGAACGTGCGATATTGATGATGGATGGGACAAACGTAATCACACAACCCGAGTTCGATCCGTTCATTACTGTGATGAACGACGGGGACCGTAACGTGCTCTCTCTCGCTAATGACGTACATATCGCGTTCGCTCCCCCCTCCCCCCCCAAAAAAAAGAAAAATTGCACCCGCGTACACACATACACAGAAAGCAATTGCTTGAAACCCAAATGAAAAAAAAAAAAAAACACGCCTAATTGTACTGTTGCATAATTTCTCTATTTATTTGAAACACGTTATTTCTATATTTTTCGCAAGCATCATCATTTCCGCGAGCGAATATTCTTTTCTCTACGGGAATACACGAGTTTATTTATATAACGGGAAGGATTTCCCTTATTAATTCAATTTTTTTTTCCGACGTGAGAGCGCTTTATGAGAAGAGAGCGCTCAAAGGAAGCACGAGGCGGCCCCACGTGTGTCTCACAATAAGCCGCAAGACGTGAGGTTCCAACAGCACGATGGTTGCTGCGCGCTCGTCTCGCTCGCCTCGCTCGCGTTTCCTCCGCGGTCGTCGACGGTTCCCTTACCGTCTTCGAGTTCCTCGGAGCTCCGGATCCGGGCGTAGCGGCTGCTGTCTGTCATCCGTCGCGCATCCAGTTCTGCATCGTGGCGTTTGTATTTGTCGTTTTGGTTTTTTTATTTTTTGGTTTTTTGGTTTTTTTGCGAAGAGAGGAAGGCGCGCGTGTAGGCGGAGAGACACAAGGCGCGCGATCACGAGGCAGAGTGCGCGCGGCAGTGCACGTGCGGCATGCAGAAACACACAGACACAAACAGAAACAAACTTTGATTTGACACAACGTCGAGAGTACACATGCATCGTGAGTTGTAAAAAATTCCGCGAGGGATGATTCGGAAGAGAGAGTTGAAGAGGGATCGGGGGAACACGCCGACAACTCGAAAGCGCTAATTCGTCGTCATTTATGTGTGTACAATAACTCGATATCCTGCGCGAGCGCGCGTCTCGATTAATTAATTAAAACGCGCGCAAACTACAAATATTTAGAGAAGATTTTCAAAACGTTTGTTAATTTAAAATCGCCACTCGAACGTCGCCCCGTGTCCGATCAAACGAAATTCCAAATAAAATTTATCGCCGTCACACGTTGTGCACGCCGCGTGCTGATGAGAGTATCCGCGCGCCTCGGATATCTCTCGCGAGGGAGAAGGTGGAGAATTTGTTTCCATCTACAATTTTATTTTTCGATTCGATGGCCGTTCGCGATCATACAATACATACGCCGCGACGGTTGCCGTGAAAAAGCGTCATTTCGACGTTGCGCGCACTCGAAACAACGTGCATTAAATCCCATCGCGGCGCGCCATTCCGGCATCAACGTTAATAATCGCATTAATGTCAATTGCCTCGTTGCACGCGGCCGGCTACTCTACTTTGACGTAACAACACGCCGGTCAAGGTAACGTCGTCCCGATAATATCCCGAAAGACAGAGCGCGGAGGACGCGATTAGCTTTTCCGGATTAAATATCTTGGCTTGCGAGTTATCGGCTTATAAACGGCGACCGGAATAAATTGCGAGGTAAAAGAGGACACACAGGACGGAGAGATAGAGAGGGCGCATAATTTATACAACGGAGCTCGGAAATTTTCTCCGATGAGAGAAGCGCGCGCGCTTACGAGATTGCGCATTACTATACGCGTTTGTCTTTCGCGAGATACGTCGACGACAAAAGGATAAACCCCGACTTTTCTATTCCATTCGAATCTCTCTTCGTGCGGGATCTCCACGCCGGAGACGTATATTACGTTATCGCCGAGACACTCCGTCCGCATTATGACGTTTCAATAAAGCGAGAAGACTGCAAGAATATATAAGAACTCGGTCGCGAGTTTTCTCGAAGGAAAAAACGCGATTTTTGCATTTTTCGCGAATTAACACGAAAAAAAAAAAACACAAAAATTCAAAAAATGTCGAGCACGAGTTGAAAAACGAACGTTACAAGTCGCGACAAACCGAGCGCGCTCCGTTTTTTATCATCACGTAAATATCGCGTAAAACTCGGGGAGAGGTCGTGCGCCAAGAACGCTCTGTCCCGTAATATTGTCACGATATATATAATAGTTAATCGTAAATTGAGCCCGGACGCAAATTTGTCGTCATTAATCCCGCAGTTTTTTGCTCATTCGTTATTCGATTATTTCTCACGCGCGCGAGAAAACGCGCGGTCGCGAATCCGTGTCCCGTTCTCGTAAATCACAACGAGCATATTAACGCCGATTATTTATGAACGGCGCAAATGAACGCGGTGGTTTTTGCATAATACTTCTGTCTGGCCGCGGATCGTAAATATTTCTACATTACGATCCGTATTTCCGATATTACACCCCGAACATTACCCTTATTGCTCGTTACGACGACAACGACATACATTTTCGCACCAAACAGAAAAAATAAAACAATAAATTAAAAAACACGCGCCCGTGTGAAAAAAAACCTTTCCTCGATCACAGGTCGCGGACCTTTTAACCAACAAACCGCCGCGCGCGGCAATTAACTAAGAGCGAATCGGTACATCCGCAGCGCGACAGTGAAAATAAAAAAAAAAAATAAAAAATAAACGAGAAAACAATTAAAGTGAAAGCCACAGAGCACACGGTGCTTTCCACCCTCTGGAAGAAAGGGAGAGGCTTTTTTTTCAGGCGGGAAGGACGAATGATAAAGGATGTGCGCGATGTGCTAGAGTAGTACTCGTGCTACAGACCGGTGGCCGAGGAGTCCTGGCGTCGCGATGCCGTCGGCCCGTTGCTGGCGTTGGCCTGGTGACTGGTGCTGGCCGACGATGACAACGACGCGCCTCCCACCTGGCTGTTCTGGCTGTTGTTGCTGCTACCGCTGCTGCCTCCTGCGCTGCCAGCTAGTCATGCAATCAACCAACCAAACACGAGCTAGTGTCAAACGTCAAAGAAGCCTTCGCGCGCGCGTGTCGCGTCGATATTTATGTCGCGTCCCGCGTTTCTCGACTGCTCCCTCGACCGACGATCGCGGCTTTGCGCTCTTCTCTCGTTCGCGTTTTCTCCCTTCGCGCGGAATAAAATAATGACCAGAAAAACAGCGCGTTTACGCGCAATCGTTCTCGAATCGTTCAAAACGACCGAAAAGAATTTTTTTCAGCCAATGTGTCTCGAGAATCAATGGACAAAAGAAAATGTAAACAATTTATTTCGCTTGTTGCACGAAAAAAATTCAACAATCACGCGATATTGTTCGTCACGAGACATTTTCCCCCGATTTGAACGCGGAATTCAACGAAACGTCGCTCGGTATAAAACGCGATCGATCATCGCGGTTCTATTCCCGGTGCTCGAATTCGTAAATAATAAAGATCGGACGAAAGAGCGCAGAGAGAAAGACAGGAGAAGATGAGAAAGAAAGAGAAAGATAGAGAGAGAGAGAGAGAGAGAGAGAGAGCGAGACAGCACAGGGAACCGCGTCGCGTGATATATCGTCGGAAGAGCGAGCTGTCGGACGCGCGGCGTCGTATTTTATCACTGTGTGTGAGTCCCAAGTGAGGGACGGAGAAATGGGGGGAGGGAGAAGAACAGAAAGAAACTTGATAAGGTAAAGACAAGGAGAACCCCGTCGTCGGTCGATCGACGGGATTAATTGATTATTCATCGGACAGTACTGTGTCTACGTGTGCGTGAGAAAGCGTGTCGAAAAGAGGTCGAGGAGCGACGATGTGGGGAGAGAGAAGCGGAGCGATAAAAAGCGCCTGGGCTTCTCACCTTCTCCCGCGTCGCGCCCTTCGCAAAAGTGGATGGGGATCGTGAAGAGGATCTTATTTGTCGTCTGAAAAGAAAATCTCTAAACACGCGTGAGTGTGTGCAACGTGAAGAGAGAAAGAGAGAGAGAGAGAGTGTGTATGTGCGTGTGTGTGGGTGACGCGCGCGAAAAAAATACGGACGCAAGCTTGATGAAAAAAAAATGATACATGAGAAAAGCGTTTTCGCGCAACGCCAAAGAGGATAGAGTGCGAAAAAGGCGGGAGAACGCATTATCATTATTATTGTACGTACGATATCTCGTGTGTAATATTGTCAAGAAACTGAAAAAGGTAATTTAGTAAATAATATACATATGTGTGTGTGTCATAAATAATTCCAAGTCATGCTCGCCGGGTTTTACTACGAGCGAGAAAACCGGCCCCGACCGATTTCTGCCGCGTTCTCGTTTCATCAAACGGGATATTATATATTTATATATTGCTGGTGTGCGCCGAGGTTATACATGTATATACACATATGTGTGATTGTATGTGCGGCTCTCTACGGAGAATCTCGATTATAAAGCGTGAAAGCAGAAATGGGTCATCCGGTCAACCTTACCGATTCGTCGATCGGACCGCAACACGCTGGTTGCGCTTCAAGCGTCTTCTTCCGTGGGTCTACCATCTTGTCCTGCGACACGAGGAGAGAGAGAGAGAGAGAGAGACTGCGGCAATTAATTAAAAAGCGACGATCGTTCCAAGTGCGCGGTATTTCTCATCCGCGATTATTTTCGGTCTCGACTCGTTTTTACGAACGAGTCCGTAACGAACGTAGTCACATAACGTAAATATCTTTTTGTCTTGTTAAAAATATTTCGCAACAAATATCCTGCGTATGTTTCATTGCATTCCTTCCACTTTCTTCGTCGTCTGTTTGAAATCGACGGACACTTTTCGAATCAGATCGGGAAATTCTAAAGAGACGATGTTACGCGATGATATCGGGGAGATGATCCTTGCGATCGCGCAAGTAGATTCGAATATACGCCACGTGGGGACAACTTGTCTAATGATTGGTCGCCATTAGATCGAAGGAGGGGAGAAAGTGGGTGAGGCTTGATACAGCAACTTGCATTCCACGGGCTCTCGCGTCACCCTCTCCAAACACACGCCATTCTCTCTCGGAGATTCATTTCACACACGTACGAAGGGGATCGAGAGCGTCTCTCCACGTGCGATCGGACGTTCACGTTGACGTTGATTTCTCGCACCGGGGGGATGAGAGAACAGAATCCAGAGAGGCAATTTCGAAAATGCGTATCATATCGACCGTCTCGCGCACACACACAGAATTCGTAACGATCAAACATCACGCGCGCGCGCACACACACACATACACATTTCGCAAAAATATCCGGAAACTAAAACCTGATACCTTTAACCGAGTTAATCGTTGTGATCGCACGCGGTTAATCTCCTTTTTGTCCAATTCGCGCGGCGCAATCTGTTGCAATCGTAATTGGATCTGAGCGAATTCGACGCTTTGCGAATCAATCGACAAACGAAGGGTTATCTGTCAGCGAATAACACCCGCACATCACAAATCCGTTCCTTCTGATTCGAGAGAGAGCGACTCCACTTGTTCCACGCTGCATTAACGGCCGCGAGATCTACAAGCAGTGGTGGGATTCACGAGAAAGAGAGAGACTGTCTTTCTTCTTCTTCTTCTTAAAATCTATATAGACCTCAGGATTGAGAATCGCGCGCGCGAGAGAGAATGAAACTTCAATTTAAATTCTCCGCAAATCCGCTAATTGAACATTTTCCAATCGCCGTTGCGACATTTTCATCTCAAGAGGACTTTTCTACCAGAGGAAGAGAAATTTCCCCGAGAGAGACAGAGACAGAGAGAGAGAGAGAGAGAGAGAGAGAGAGAGAGAGAGAGAGAGAGAGAAGAAACCGTAATCTTCGCGCGTCGAATCCCACCACCGGAATCTTGAGTATTACCTTGGGCTCCTTGAAGGAGAACCGCGGCAATTCCGAGGGGGTTGCCCGTACCCTGAATCTGAGTCTGGTTCGGGATCTGCTTGTTTGTCGCCGCCGTGGCCGCGCCGACCGCCTTGGAGAACGCGGACATTGTCGCGGGGCTGCTCGGGGGTGTACCTTGGAGGTAAACGAAAGACAAGAGCCTTCGATTTCAGGGTGGCGATGTTGTTTGTTTTGCTCCGAGCGGCAAAAAAAAACAAACCGGTCGGCAATCGACCGGTCCAATGACATCAACAAACAACAAGGGAGGGTGAACGGCCCAACAAAGCGTATGAAGAAGGCGGGAGGGAAAAAAGCGAAGCTCTGGGTGGCGACTGTCGTCTTGACGCGACCCATTACGTCGTTTGTTCGCTACCGAGAAAAAACGGCGCACGCGGCAAAAGATGACAAAAGGAGAAGCCTTAACTATCGATCAAGTGCCACGAAACAAGGGCGAAACAAGGCGAAACCATACCTCGCCACACACATACACACACACACATATCGGAAACCGGGTTCTAACACAGCCCATTTGTTATGTTAATCATGAACGAGAGTTAGCGTAACGTTATCGAGCCACATCGATCGCCTTCATCAAACGTCGGAGTTAGTATCGACGAGCATTTCATCCAAAATGGGGGGAAGAAGTAAAGCGTGCGGGGGAAAAAAAAAGATTTGCCAGAACAGCGAGAAGATACCGCATACCCTACAGGCAGCGAGAAAAATTTCTCGTTAAGCCTATTTCTGAATTTTTTTTGCCAACAAAACGTCTTGTTGATGAAACAAAAAATTCAGTGGATTTTTCTCGCTGACCCGTAATGTAATCGCAAAAAACTTCTTTTTCCGCGTAATCTCGCGGAAAAGCTCGAAAAGTTAAGCTAGAGATTAGTCGAGGGAAGGTTTCCTCGAAGTGTGGAAGAACGAGTTTCACGGAAGAAAGAGCAAGAGGTTCGGTTCGTTAATTGGTCGGGATTTATTAGCGATTACAATTCGGCGCGTCGAATGCGATTATTTACGCATAGCAATGGCCTCGAACGCGGTAAATTTTCGCTCCGCGCGTAGACGAGATTTATTCTAGAAATAGATCCTAGGAGCCCGCGTCTATGTGTGTGTGTGTGTGTGTGATCGTGACCCGACTACATACGTAAGCGCGTCTTAGTCGCGTCGCGAAAGTTCGTTTTGCATATAAGAGACGCCCCGTCGGAGACAGTTCGCGATTATTAATATAGAACCGGCGCAAAGATGTTTGTATGTGTGTGCACAAAGTTCTTCGGGCTCCCCTCGCTTTTGTCTCTCTCTCGCGTTTCTTCACGATTTTCTCACGAGCGAGCGAAATTCATCCGACGTTTATTGAGAGATTGCCAAGTCCATGGAATATTAATTAAACGGAAAGATGAATGTAAATTTACTCGACGCGAGAAGATTCTGACGAAAATTTTAATTGAAAAGCAAGTCGCTTCAAGAAGAAGATGCTCAAAGTTAAATCCGTTCTCCGGCCGTTGCGTTTATTTCTTAAAACTCCCGCCGGATCGATCGCGAAAGAAGCCGTGAAGGACTTAGGACTTATTCAAATACGCTCGGTAAACACACCGACTGTGTGTGTTGCGAGTTCGCGCGCACTCGATTGGTTCGCGCGAACCAAGCGATATGTCGGCGACGACGGAATTAATTATTTGAGACAATCCGCGGAGAATTATAAAAAAAAAAGTCGAAGAGAACGTAAAACAAAAACAAAATCAGAACATTCGAGAAAGCAATTCGCGAGCGAAGATTGTTTCTCGGCGAACGGCCATTACAAGCAGGAAATATTTTCACCGCCGGCGTAAACAAACGACGCTGTGCACAAAATACAGACACGTGTAAATGAAACTGCGAGCGAGAATGCGACCAAATCTCCGTGAGACTCACCGTAAATCTCCTTCGACGAACCGGGTGCGCTGTTGGCCGACATTACGATCTCTTCTGCAAACGGCGTCGTTGCTAAATCACGAGAAACACGACACTGTCACCGCGACAAAACAAAAAACAAAAAAAAAAGGCGACACGACACACCAGACGCCGCGGCGAAATTCACGTTCTCGTCTGATAAATAGCGCGGATATTGTCGCGCGCGATATCAGTCGTAAAACAAAAACAAAAAAAAAAAAACCAATTCAGTGGCGAAATATAAAATCGCTCGTTCGAAACCGCGCGAGACTCCTCGCTCGTTCGCGAACGACGTCTCGAATCGCCGCCGATCTATTTTCAAGTAATGCCAAGCGGCCAGGTATTTCTGTTGACAGTACGTGGTCTTCGTGCACGCGCGAGGCGAGCACGAAGCAAAGTGGCGCCGCGGTGTCTTGAGAGAAAATCGCACGATCGACGGAGACGAAAAATTATAGCGTGTACTTATTCGCGCGCGTCGAAAATAAGAAATTGAAGAGCACGTATAAGCGAGATATTTGGAAAAATGTAACGATTTGATACGCGGGAATTTATCCAACAAGAGACTCGCTCTATTTTGGAAATATTAGCGCGCACGTTACATTTTGTAACATCAAATGTTACAAGAACAAAATCCGCCCTGCGGGATGGAAATCCCGGTCGTGTTCTCGCCTTTAACGTAAGGTAATTTTAGGCTTAAGTCGCGAGCTTTCCACGTTAGTTAGTTGGTTCGAGCTTAATTATAACTTTCGAGCTAACTATCACTCGTGCGCCGCTTTTATTATAACGTAGTTATAACTAATTTAGCGAAAACGACTTCATTATGCGCGCTTACACGTTCGAGACTCGCGCGAGAAGAATTGACAAGCGCGCGCGCGTTCGTTATTTTATTATCCCTCTCCCGAATGTCGATCGCACACAACGTGAATATCGCACGCAAGAAATACGGCTCGTCATCGCGACGGAAATTGAATTGTTTCCTTCGGTTTCCTTCCGAACAAATCGAGGCGGATATTAATGTTTTCCAGTCGCAGAAGTGCGAAAGTAATTAAAGCGAGATTATATATATGTATTTTTTTTTAATATAAAGTCTCTTATTTTCCTTTTAGAAAATATAAGGAGATGTTGTTGCAAAAACTTTACTCGCGTGTAATTTTGGGAAATCGAAGCGGAAAAACTTGTTCCGACCGACTTTCAAACGTTGATTCAAATTCTGCCGCTTCAGAAGCACACACACGTTTAATAAAAATTAGATAGTAAGCTTTTCGAAAAGTAGAGATCGTCGATTTTGCCAACGACTCTCCTTCACATTCAAGAAAATGAATCAAAAACCGATCGAGTAATCCGATCACTTTCACACTTGTGTACATTATACACGCAGGAGATGACATAATTTATACTGGAAATGGAGGATTAGCTGTCAAGAGAGAGGGAGAGAGAAGGAGAGAGAGAGAGAGAGAGAGAGAGGGAGAGAGAGAGAGAGGGAGGGAGTTAGTGTAATGAGGTAAATTAATAACCGTCACAGTCTGATTAGACACAGACGTCCAAACACGGCAATTCAAAGGGTAACATTATCCCATCATCTCAACGCAGTCGCGAGGTTTAGTCGATCAGTTTGATTAATGTCAATCACGATGATCCGCCGAGACAGTTATAATCTCGATCTCTGCGTTCTCACAGTAGCTGTAATGCGATTTTCCAGTCGCGCTGCGCATCAAGAAAGAGGGGGGTGGGGTGTCTCAGGAGGATCCACGCACACGTTTCGGATTGTGGGATTAATTTTGAGATTGATTAAAAGAGGGGAGGAGTCGACGCGCGTAATGGGGAAAGACAGAGAAAGAGAGAGGAGAGAGAGAGAGAGAGAAATAAAGAGAAAGATGGAGAGAAAGAGAAATTATGAGAAAAAGAAAAAGAGTCAGAGACGAGAACAATTTTCGAAATGTTAGTCGACGAAACAAGTTCGGGAGAGACGGCAAAAATCCGCTACATGATTTTCGCAGAAGCGGCAACAGAAAGGGTGCAAAAGCTCGGAAAATTCGCAGGAGCCTCTCGTGAAAAATCGATCTCTCCCATCCGCGCGATAATCCACCCTTCCCGACCGATCTTTTTCTCCAATAGAGAAATATTTCACGTGGAATAGATACATTCTGTCCAATATATACGGGGTTTGGAAAACATGACAAAGCACGCAGACGATTTTCTCGGACATATGCCGGAAGTGGGTGGCAAATCGTTATCCCTTTCCTCCCTTCCTCTTCCTGGAGACGCGATCATAAAACGTCGCTCTTCGTTCGGTAAATCGCATCCCGTGTTATTAAACCGAGTGAAGATTTACGATTATTTCGCGCACGCGCATTGTGTCCAGTTTGAGCTTGCCGATTAAAAAGATTTCAATTTTCGCGATCGCGTCGAATTTTTTATTCCGAAAGCGACGTCGCGCGAACAACCCTCACATATCCGAGATCGCGTTGAAAGGCTTTTGTTTCACTTTAATTGTTTTGCACAATAAAAATGTCACAAATTTTGGTTGTTATATTTTTTGCTGCACAGAGCGCGAAGTTTTGATCTCTCAATGTTAATACACGGTTTATAAATAATCCGTCCGCTCTGACAAGTGGCGTTATTTAATAACATTCGATCGGTATTTCTCTCGCCGAAATCAATAATGCAACAAAGTGATTAAATTTACATGTTCAATTTTCATAACGAAGTGAATTTAACCGCGCGCGGAATTTGCACGCTCTACCACATACACTACTAGTGCGCACCAAAATTCACGGATTCCGCAAAGTTGCGTTAACCGCAAAATATTACTGCGATTACCATTAGTTGTGGTTTTTGGTTGTTCCCGCCGACTCGCGCGACCGATCGAATTTCAAGCCGGATTGAAGCGACGCGCGCGAATTCAATTCAAATTCGCGACCAAAACGCGTTACGCGCGCGCTCGCCTAAACCAAAGGATAATTCTCGCCTCGTCGATTTCGATCAAATCAAATGCGAATCTATCCGGGAGGAGGAAGAGGGTTTTGTCCAAGAATCACGCGCGATACCATCCGCGCGTGTTCCAATCGCTTACGCGCGTTTAAATCACAAATCACGCGAACGGGAGAGGCCGATCGCTGCGGGCGATCATTGTGTGCGCTGTGTGCGCGATCGCCAAGGTATCAAAAATTACAATACACAACATTGTGTACACGTAAAAAAATTGCACATACAACGCCAGAGTTGCAATATACATAGAAGAGAGGAGAGACGTTCGAGAGAAGGGGTTTTTTTCGAAACGTTTCTCGATCTCGAGAGAGTTGGTTTTACCTTCGGGTTCTTTGGCAATGACCGTGCTGCTCCGGTCGACGCCGCCCTTCTTATCCTCTGTACAACATATACACATATACATCACGTATATACGAATAAAAGAGAAAGGTGGAGTTCATATCTTATATCATTACATGTAACGCCTAACGTAAATATGTACGCGCGATATCGATACAAAGCCACGCATCTCGCACGACGGAAAGCTAAGCTTCGGTCGTCCACACGAAAAGAAAAGGATTTGCCGAAACATCAAGAAGATTAAATTAACATGCGGCCAGCAGAATAATTCGCTAATTTTGCACAAGCTGACACGATTGAGGCTTTTTTTAATTAATTATCAGAGGCCCGATTCAGTTTGCCTCTCAATCGATAAACTCGAAAATAACCAAGAAAAAAATTCCAAGATGTTGAGCGGAACTCGAGATCTTTTCGGTCGCAAAAGCTGCAAAAAACAAGCCCATTGAGATATTTTTGTTTTGCCAACAAGAAACGTTTCGTTGACGAAGCAAAACATTCAAGTTGGACTCAGCAAATTGTTGTTGCTGGCCGCGGCAAGACTTTTTCTTCCGTGTAGTATCGATACGTACGCAATATCGCTCCTTCGTTCGAAGGAGTAAGTACGCAGAAAAAAAGTGAAGTTTATCAAAACCGCGTGGCAAAGTTTCTCCGCCAAGTTTATATGCGAGAAAAAAATTGATTGTATCAAGCGGATAATCTCTTCTCGGCAAACTTCACTTTTCCGTCAAATAGTCGTCTCTGACGATTTCGCTAAATTGAACAAAATTCCTGAGTAGATGATCACGGGTTCTTCCCGTGACATTGACGGTTCGAGATCTTGGTTGTTATCAATGAGAAGTAATATCGTAAGCAGCGCAAACGACAACGCAGTTCGATTAAAAAAAATTCCGCAAAAAAATGTATCAAAAGTAACTTCCAAGTTTATATAAAAAGAAAAAAAAACACCAAATTGTCTCCTCAACACGTGTCGGCGAAGTAATAACAATCACGGCGTGTGGAATCGCCAGGGAGTTTTTCCGTTCGAGTTTCATCCAACTTTCAGCGACGTGCTTGGCTTTCGCGCGCTATTTCCATCACGAGACGGAAGATATTCCCAGAGTGGATCCGCTCCGCGTCAAAATCCCAAATGAAGCGCGAGAGTAATGCGAAGTGTAACAAAACGTCCCGTCGCTTTCCCGTTTCGTCTAACGATATTTATATTCGAAATGCGAAATATATATTTCACAAGCAATAGTGAAAGCTACGACAAAAAAAAGCCATGCTTTGGTTTTGTTTGTTTTTTTTTATTTTTTTTTTTCTGTTTCCATCTAACCGTCAATCGGCGCATGTATTTTGTAAAAACAATTCTGCGAACAAGATCGCGACATCGAGACACAAGAGAAAGAAAAGGAAGAGGATTTTGTTTTCTATTCGTGCAAAGCACAAAGAAGTGTTGTTGGACGTTTTCTTTTTTTTTTTTTTTTTNTTTTTNATACTCGCTCGCGCGAATTGACGGCGCGCAGTTTTCTTTTTTTTTTTTCGATTTCTTTCGCACGGAGCTGCCCCTCGGCCACTGCACACGCGATAACAATAAATTTCGCGATAACGAGTATTAACTCCGGTAACCCGTGACGAGAAGAGGGTGTGAAACAACGTTCGAGTAGCGTTTGTATAAGCGTTAAGGGACTCGCGTAACGATCTCAAATATATCACGATTCGATTGTTCTTTTTTTTCTCCCTTTTTTTATTTATTTATTCAGGAAGAAGAACGTGCAGAGTGCTGTTATATATATATATATATATATATTATCAAAAACGACATGTCACAGAAGAAACGGTCGTCAGATAGAAAAAATCGATGAGAAAGAGAATCGAGAATCGGTATCACCGGGCAGTAAGTGCTGGAAGGTGCACTTTGCAGTAGGAAAAAAAAAAAGAAAAAAAACGTGCACATACGTCAATAAAAGACACGTATCGATCGTGTCTCGAGTAGTAAGGGAAAAAAAGAAAGAGATTGCGAGACGTGCAGATCGAGCCAATCGTACGGTTTTGATCGCGACGCTCTTTTCGCTCAAATTGCAAATTGCAGATTAGTTTTTTTTTTTTTTTTTTTTTTTTTTTTAACGCAAATGAACGGTCGTCGACGCGCTTACGTTCATCTTTAAATCACGGCTGATCGATCTTGAATATAAAAAAAAAAAAATGACAAAAGCCTCGTTTCTTTAGAATTGATAATTTAATCAATTTTTGTAAATCTACTCAATTTTCATATTGCGATTTGTTGATCATCTCGCAAGTTTATTTTGCAAGAACGAGTTGTCTAACAAAACAAAACAAAAGCAGAAAACCATGGAAGAAACTATTTTTCGCCGTTGCGGGGCAACTTTACGTGCGGTCACGCGTTCCGCTAAAAATGTGCTTTTTCCCTCCCGACACTCGGAGGCTTTACAAAAAAAAAAAAAACGCCGTACGATGGCGAGCAAGCGTGCAACGGCCGGGAAGCATGCAAGAAGCGGATCGACACACAGAAAAAAAAGAAACAGTCGGAGAAAGAAGTGAGTGGAGAGAGAGAAAGAGAGAGAGAGAGAGAGAGTCAATTCCACATCGGCCGATTGGTTTCCAGCCGACGGAGAGCAAGTGCGCGACACAAAAGTCAAGGGGGTGGTGTGGTGAAAAGGCGAAGGAAGAGATAGAGAAAGAGAGAGAAAGAGAAGTGCCACAGAGCGAGAAATAGGGGAACAAAAGTTTCATACAACGGGCTGGTGTTCATAAATCCATAACACCGGGCTAAAACATCGAGAGTCGAGACTTGTGACGACGACAGAGAGAGAGCGTGTGTGTGTGTGTGTGTGTGTCTGATGTATGTCTGTTTGTATACATGTACGTGTCATATGCGTGTGCGTGGTGTGACACTAACAGTGACCTAAAGTCTAAGGACGTGTTCGTGTGACGAGATGCAAGGTGGTGGTTTCGTAGAAGGTGAAGAAAGAGTTCGTTTGGGGACGCGATCGCGCGTGCGATCGCCTTCTCAAACGAGCTTGGTGCACATGGAGAAAGAGTATAGTCACGAAGCGAAGTAAAGTACACATATACTTCGAAAGAGCGAAATCGTACACGGGATTTTCGAGAGAAAAAGAGAGAAAGAGAGAGAAAGAGAGAGAGAGAAAAAGAGCCGCGATTATGTTTGCTCCCGTTGTTTATTTGCCACCGGAATCTTCGAAATCAATTTTACCCTCCCAAGACGCGTGTGCGCGCGCGCGATCAGTTTTCCTCTTACGCAATTTCCCACACGGGTCAATATATGTAAGGTGTCACACCCGTGTGATATTCAATTTTCATCGGCGACTCTTCGCGGTAATCGAAAAAAAGCAATCGAGACAACAATTGAAACGATGACGCGTGACGTTAATTAATTTTGAACAATTATAAGAGTCATCTCGACGCGATTGTTCTCGACGACCGTCGATTCGATTCCGCTCATCGATTATATATCACTTTTCTCCACTTTGTCGTAGCGCTCTAACGATCTATTAAAATGCCGACAATTTTTTTTTTTTTTCGTGATTGTCACTGCCACGTAAATCTCTGACTGTATCTCTCGCCGACGGTTTTCGAAATGAAAAAGTATTCAAGAGAGAGAGAGAGAAAGAGATAAAGAAAAATAGAGAGAAAGAGTATGTCGAGCGCCTATGTCGTAAATGCACATACGCGTTTCTCCCCGTTCGCGCAATTGGCAACGTCCGAGCGATAAATTCATCTTTCCTTTTTTTTTTTTTTTTTNTTTTTTTTTGCTATTGCTCAACGAGCGACTGTTCGCTCATCGCGTCACATCTTGTTCTGCCGCTCTGGTTCGCACGTTAAAAAAACCAGGAGAACAAAATCAGACGTCCCCTCTCACCGACGTCGCAAAATGTACACACGCAGGCTCGGTACGTGGCAGCAAAAAAAACAAAAAAAAAAAAATAAAAAAAAATAAAGAAGAAACACAAAATGTATCCAAAAAACACCGGGACAGGTGTGTGCGAGTGTGAGAGGAAACACAAATATATATTATGTGTATAATATATATAATATATATATATGTATATATGCGAGATGAGATCTAAACGTGCGAGAGTGATAATTTAATAATCGTGGATATGTACGTTGCCTCTGGAGAAAAAAGCTCGCAACTAAATTCCCTTGTTTTGCGCTACTCTGTGTTATGTAACACGCGCGGAATTAACTTGACTCGTGTCGAGAAGAGTCCGCTAAAAAATTTGCAAAAAGCACAAAGAAACAGAGATAGAGATATATGTATATATCGGTAAATAACGTATAGAAATATATAAAAGTCAAGAAAGAGAGAAAGACAGAGAAGCTGCCGTCTCCGAAGATAGCCGCTCGTTAGCTTCGCTTTTAACTCGCAATACGTATATTGAGGCCGCAAATTACTCCGATCGGAAACTCACAAATTTTTCAGAGTCGGACTCTAACGAGCGTCTTTCGTTCGGCGATCAAAGCGAGAGAGAAAAAGAGAGAGAAAGAGAGAGAGCTATCGTGAATCGTGAAAGAAAAACAGCGAGTAATAATTTGAAGAGTCTTCTCTGCGCTAATTGTGTTCTAAGGAATTATCGTATACAAATACACTAAGGCTGTAACAAAAAAAGAAAAAAAATACCACAAGCGACAAGCGACGTGAGCCGGAACGATCGCTTCGGTCGAAAGATCGACGTGAATGAATGAATGGTGATGAAGTAGAAGAAAATGTCAATAAACAGAGATACACAAAACATCGAGATCGGCTGTGAAACAAAATACCATGTTTGCTAATTGACACACCGGATTGATCGCGCGCTTAACTTATTCGCGCGAAATTACTGCGTCTCCTTCTACATACTGCATCGTCTTTCAGCTTCGTCGACGAATTCTCTACATCTAATTACGTGTTACATCTAATTAATCATCTAATTAATTTTCATACTGTGTGTACATCAAGTCGCGAATAATTAAATTATTTCGCGTTACAAAAGCTACAATTTTAATTTCAACCGCTAATTGTTTACAACAATTTGTCCGCC